GGTTGCAGTGGCTGAAGGATCGTGCACTGGCACTCCAGCTGGGTGACAGAGCACGATCCGTGTCAAAAAAAAAAAAAAATGAAACGTATCCATTTGAACAATATAGAAAAATGACGACAGGTCGGAAGGAAACCTAACCTCCGCTGCCCTCTAACACATGAAGCCATACTGCAGGGATCCCAATAGTACAGCTACCTTAATTTTTCTTTGCCTGTGTCTAGATAACACTTTTGCTATTCATTTCTCACAATCTTATTAGAATTTAACCGTTAAGATAAAGGGATAGTCCTCTAAAAGTAGCATAGTAAGAAACAGCAGCAAGCCAAGCAGCCTTCACAATAGTGGCCCCATGAATGCAAGGTCAACATGTATATATTAGTGAAATATATTTTCCCTGTTGGATCCTCAGGTAATGAACTTACAGACTATCGTTATTCATCTGTTTTCATACTAATTCTACCAAAAGCCTGATACCAATATTTACATTATTGAAACATCCAGAAGTAAAGCTACCAGAAGGTACAAGCACTTGTTTTCTTCTCGTTTTTTCTCCATTGAAAAGCACTTGGGCTGGATATGGTGGCTCACACCTGTAATCCCACCTGATGTCAGGGTTCAAGATTAGCCTGGCCAACATGGTGAAACCCCGTCTCTACTAAAATACCAAAATTAGCCGGACATGGTGGTATGTACCTGTAATCCCAGCTACCCGGAGGCTGAAGCAGGAGAATCACATGAACCGGGGCGGAGGTTGCAGTGAGCCGAGATCACACCATTGCACTCCAGCTGGGTGATAGAGTGAGACTCCATCTCAAAAAAAAAAAAAAGTAAAGCACTTATTTTCAATAACAAGTTAGGAGTCACTTTCAAACCTCCATGACAAAGAACCAGGTATTTCACGTTTAATTACATTTGGGCAAGGCAGAGTGGCTCATACCTGTAATCTCAGCACTTTGGGAGGCCTAGGTGGGTAGATCGCTTGAACTCCGGAGTTGAAGACTAGCCTAAGCAACATGGCAAAAGCCCATCTCTACAAAAAATACAAAATTCACCAGACATGATGGCATGTACCTGTAGTCCCAGCTATGTGGGAGGCTGAGGTGGGAGGATCACTTGAGCCTGGGAGGTTGAAGCTGCAGTGAGCTGTGATCATGCCACTGCACTCCAGCCTAGGTGACAGAGCAAGACCCTGTCTCAAAAAAAAAAAAAGGTTGGTCCTAGTAAGTGACCTGAAAGTAATTACTACTACATGACAGATAATTTTGTATACTCAAGTAAACTGAAGTATCTGAATGAGACACCAATACTCTCCACAGATACACTTCACTTTTTTTTTTTTTAAATAAATAGAGATGGAGGTCTCACTATATTTACCAGGTTGGTCTAAAACTCCTGGCCTCAAGGGATCCTCCCGCTTTAGCCTCGCAAAGTACTGGGATTACAGGCATGAGCTACCATGCCTTTTTTATTTTCAATGGAGGGTATATAAGGTAAGTGAAAAATTCCCTTAACAAAATATAGATATTACATCACAGAAAAGCAGCTTATGTTAAAGTGAGACAAAAGACAATGGGAAATATTATGGACAGAAAAAAAAATGCTTATTGGACAGGGGAACCAGAGAACAGATAATCGTACTATCCTCAACTCTGATGCTGTCAAGTGAGCCTGTAAGGGAATCACAGTTTCTCTTCAGTTTCTCTACTGACATTGACAATTATTTGACAGAATACTTTTTAATCCAGGGATATAATCAACTGTTCCGTACAATAGGGGCGGTCACAGAGGACTCTTATTGCTTGACCAACAGTAGAATTGAATCTTGATAGCATCAACTATTTCATAAGAATACTTCAATAAATAAGGACAGTGACAGTAATTTTATGTTTGCATAAAACAGGGAAAGGCTAGGGGTTATCTCTCACTACTTTTCCCCAAAACATTTAAACCACTTCTGTTTGGGGGAAAAAAAAAAGGAACTTTAAAAAAAAATACAAAGACTGAAGAAAAAAATTATTTTTAGGAGTAAACGTGTCAAGTTCCTAAATTAATACTTTATTATTTTATTATTATTTTTTTGAGACGGAGTTTCACTCTTGTTGCCCAGGCCGGAGTGCAATGGCGCGATCTCGGCTCACTGCAACCTCCGCCTCCTGGGTTCAAGTGATTCTCCTGCCTCAGCCTCCCAAGTAACTGGGATTACAGGCATGCGCCACCACGCATGGCTAGTTTTATATTTTTAGTAGAGACAGGGTTTCTCCATGTTAGTCAGGCTGGTCTCGAACTCCTGACCTCAGGTGATCCGCCCGCCTCAGCCTCCCAAAGTGCCAGGATTACAGGTATGAGCCACTGCACCCAGCCTAATACTTTCTTTAAAAACTATAAAAATTAGCTGGACATGGTGGCTCATGCCTGTAGTACCAGCTACTTGTGCGGCTGAGATGGGAGGATCACTTGAGCCCAGGAAGTAAAGGCTGCAGTGAGCCAAGATCCTGCCACTGCACTCCAGCCTGGGTGACAGAGTGAGACCACCTCAAACAAACAAAAAAAATGTAATTTCCAATGGTAGTAAGAGCTGCCTTACATCACAAGTGAGATTACATGGATTCTCTAGTCCCTTTACAGCCCATGAAAACACCTTTGAATAACTAGGTTAAACACCTTGGCAATTTAATGATTTAACTATAGCCCTAACACTGAACTTATTCACTGTTTTATATTTTCAAAACTGTTTTTTGTAGGAGAGTAGCATCATCAAGTCTCCTTATATATTTATATAGTATACATATTTATATAGTTGATACCCCGGTAAGACTACACACACATATTATACTATAGTTCAGTTTTACCTACAGGAAATGACACCTCTCTTCTTTGGAAGAAGGGAAAATTCATCCAGTAGGCTAGGGAAATTGCATTTCTAACAAGTAACACAAACTAGTTTAAACATACACTTTGCCCTAATCATCAACTACTTCTAATTTCCTTTTGGTTAATCCAGTGTTTTGTTTTTTTGGAGACAGAGCCTTACAGACCGTGTGTAGTGGCGCTATCTTGGCTCACTGCAACCTCTGCCTCCCAGGTTCAAGTGATTCTCTTGCCTCAGCCTCTCAAGTAGCTAGGACCACAGCATGCACCAGCACACCAGACTTTTGTTGTTGTTGTTGTTGTTGTAGTTTTAGCAGAGATGGGGTTTCACCATGTTGCCCAGGCTGGTCTTGAACTCCTGAGCTCAAGCAATCTGCTCACCTTGGCCTCCCAAAGTGGTAGGATTACAGGTGTGAGCCACTGCGCCCAGCCATTGTTTATTTATTTGACAATTCAAAAATAATACTTTTTTTTACACATATGCATTTGATTTTGGAATTTTCAATCCATAAATTTAGCTGAATCTTTACAAGCCATTAAGAATGCAACATCAGAATACAGACAGCAACTAAGTTACTCAGTAATCAAGTTGAGCCCTTAACAACTTAATAGATGTAGTTTATGAGGTATACCTTTATATGAATTATATGCAGCTTTCTGTTGAAGTTCTAAAATCTGTCCTGTTAAAAAGTGATTGTGAAACTTTTTTGTAGGAGAGTAGTATCACTAAGTCTCTATATTGGCCATACAAGTAGCACCTGAATTTCTTTTGTTTAATTAACCTTAACTAAAAAACACATACATACATGCTTTTTGGGCAGTTCATTTTATTATAGCCTTTTTACTCTCCCCCGTTTTTTTTGTTGTTGTTGTTGTTTGTTTTTAGTTTTTTAAGTAGAAACAGGGGAAACAGGGTCTTACTACATTGCCAAAGCTTTTCTCAACTCCTGGTCTCAAGTGACCCTTCTGCCTCAACCTCCCAAAGTGCTAGGATTACAGGCATGAGCCACTATGCCAGTCCCTCCTTTTACTCTTGATCTGACTTCTAAGTTTTTAATAGTGTTCCCCATGCTGTTATACACATGAAAACAACCCAGATCTCCACTTTATACAATTAGTGACCTACCAGTGGGATCTGTATTACTGTTCACAGTACATAAAATATGCAAGCAGTTTGCTAAATAGAAAATACATTTCAAATACCTTCAAGACTCAAAAAGAACAAACACAATTACGTATTTTATCATTTTATTAGGAATAATTCCAAATGGGTTATGCAGAAAATGTATTCATCAAATTTGATGAGTTTTCCAAAAACTCTTAATGAAGATATGTCTGCTCAATAAACAAAACATCAGCAGAACTCTCATATACTGAGCAAAAAATCAGGCTGATAACAAAAGCAACATGCAACATAAAAAAGACACAATATAAAGGAAGACAATCTGCTGAGTATTAAAAACCATCTAAATCTCAATTCTTTGCAGCCAGCACAGAACTAATTAGCTATCAAATCCAAACCCCACCAAGGTATAAGTTTAGCTGATGTAGGCCAGGAGTCAATGTAGGGGGAAAAAAATTTCCTCAGTGCAAGAGAGCTGAGTAGTGTTTTGGATCTTTCTGTGGCTGGTACAAGCAGTATTAGAAAATCTTTTTGGCAAGAGAGAGAAATAAATACAAATGGAATGCTACATTTTTAAATTAGCAGACTGTCTCAGGAATGATAAAGGTATCAGTAAAGTAGCAAGGGGATAACTTTAAAACATTATTTATCTGGGGCTTAAAAAGCACTCAAACCAATTTATTTAAAGGTTTCACAATAGCTATGTCCAGGCATTTACACTTATGGGAAGTAAAATTAAAAAAGGATACTTTTTTTCCCAAGGAGAATTTCTTTAAAACCAAGCACAATTGCTAAATAGCAACATTATACTTGGTAAACAATAATTGGCAACAAAATAATATTCTGCCCAAACGAGTCCCAGATACTGTTTAATAACCAAGATACAAACTAATTTTGTTGTAACAAGCCTAGGCCAATTTTATCAAACATGTCCTTGGTTAGATATCCAGTTTCATTTAACGTTTTGAAAGCTCATTTGACAGCCAGTCAAGTCCTTCATACAGACCAGTTCCTTGTGTTGCACAAGTGGCTTGAACATACCACTGTAAAGACAAGACAAGAAAATACTTCATTAACAAAGTTAATATATAACACCAGTGTTTAAACTGTCTTAATCAAACTTAAGAGTCTTCTCACACCTCTTGCTTCTCACAAAACTCTACCATATTTAAAGCTACTTATGGCTGGGTGTGGTGGCTCGCACCTATAAATCCCAGCACTTTGGGAGGCGGAGATGGGAGGATCACTTGAGCTAGTGATCTTCGAGCTAGTAGATCGAGACCAGCCTGGGCAACATAGTGAGACCTTGTCTCTACCTTTTTAGATTATTTTTTAAATAATAAAGCTGCTTCTACCTATTCTGGAGGTTGCAGTGAGCTGAGGTTGTGCCACTGCACTCCAGCCTGGGCGACAGAGTGAGACTCCGTCTCAATCAATCAATCAATCAATCAAGCTACTTCTACCTATTCATTATATTTAGACCAGATTTTCCCCCCTCAGTCATTCAGGTTTTTTTTCAGTACTAGTTTTTGGTTCCCTTTTAGTAAACTTTCTACCAGTTAATCTGAAAAGAGAAATCATGGGGAAATTAGTAACTAATAAACTATCCATCTGGTTTTTATAACTCTCGTTTCCCATAAAACTAAACTCAAAGAGGCAATTTTTGAAAGAGTAGGGTTTGTTGATATTTTAAAGGCAGGCTTTTCAGATAATTTCACTATCTTTAGTCTCATGCATTCCAAAAAGTTCTTGTTTTTAGATGGTAATGAATCTTATCTCTAGTAACTGTGTGAAAGTATCAAAAAAAAAAAAAAAAAAACCTAGAAGACAATTTACATTTAAGATATAGTTTACTTTTATTAATTTTTTTGACCAGTTTAACGCTGCAAGGCCACTGCAGGTATACCATGTTGCCAATTATTTGACTACCATATCTCAGTAACCTAGGAGGCAGGGGAAAGGCTCAAATTCATACCTTCACAGCATGGAAAACTTGTATCATTTACAGTTAGTGTTGCTTGCTTATTTACTGATTGATTGATTATTTTGAGGCAGAGTACTCACTCTGTTGCCCAGGCTGGAGTACAGTGGCATAATCTCAGTTCACTACAACCTCCGCCTCACAGGCTCAAGACATTCTCGTGCCTTCAGCCTCACAAGTAGCTGGGGTTACAGGCATGCACCACCACGCCCAGCTAATTTTTGTATTTTTAGTAGAGACAGGGTTTTACCATATTTGCCCAGGCTGGTCTCAAACTCCTGGTCTCAAGTGATCCGCCCACCTTCCCCTTCTAAAGTGCTGGGATTATAGGTAGGTGTGAGCCACCACACCTGGCCCAGTTTATGTTCTTCAAATCAGCCTGAGATACCTCAAACAGGCAACAGGTTCTTTTTCTTTTTCTTTTTTTGAGACGGAGTCTCGCTCTGTCACCCAGGCTGGAGTGCAGTGGCACGATCTCGGCTCATTGCAACCTCTGCCGCCCAGGTTCAAGTGATGCTCCTGCCTCAGCCTCCAGAGTAGCTGGGATTGCAGATGCCTGCCACCACACCTCATTTTTTTTGTGGTTTTTAGTAGAGACGGGGTTTCATTATCTTGACCATGCTGATCTTGAATTCCTGACCTCGTGATCCACCCGCCTAGGCCTCCCAAAGTGCTGGGATTATAGGCGTGAGCCACTGCACCCAGCCTGCAATAGGTTCTTTGTTGTTTCATTTTTTACCACAGCCATAGTATTTGCCTTATTTACAGGTTAATGCAAAACTACTGTAAAAAGCCTATGACACTAAGTTTCTGATAATTTATCTCCATCACTGAATCACTGATCTAAAATAACAAGCAATTTTAGAGAAGTATAATTTTTTTTTTTTTAAAGAAACAGTCTTGCTGTGTCACCCAGGCTGGGGTGCAATGGGCACAATCACAGCTCTCTGCAGCCTCCAACTTCTGGGTTCGAACAGTCCTCCCACCTCAGCCTCCCAAGTAACTGGGACTAAAGGCGCATGCCACCACACACAGCTAATTTTTATTTTTGTAGAGATAGGGTTTCACTTTGTTGCCTGGGCTGGTTTCGAACTCCTGGCCTCAAGCAATCCTCCTGCCTTGGCTTCCCAAAGTGTTGGGATTGCAGGTGTGAGCCGTGGTACCTGGTCTCCTCCATAAGCTGTTAACAAGCAGACAAGGCTGGGCACCATGGCTGGAATCCCAGCGCTTTGGTAGGCTGAGATAGTGGGAGGATTGCTTGAGTCCAGGAGTTCAAGACCAGCCTAGCAACAAAGTGAGACCCCATCTACACTTTTTTTGAGACCGAATTTCGCTCTTGTTGCCCAAGCTGGAGTGCAGTGGCGCGATCGTGACTCACTGCAACCTTCACCTCCCGGGTTCAAGCGATTCTCCTGCCTCAGCCTTCTGGAGTAGCTGGGATTACAGGTGTGTGCCACCACACCCGGCTAATTGTGTATGTTTAGTAGAGACAGGGTTTCTCCATGTTGGTCAGGCTGGTCTCGAACTCCCAATCTCAGATGATCCGCCCGCCTAGGCCTCACAAAGTGTTGGATTACAAGCATGAGCCACAGTGCCCAGCCCCCCATCTCCACTTTTGAAACAAGCAAACAAACATTACTGGATCCTTAGTAAGAGAGCCAGATTTCAAAATATTTGCTGTAGGGTTATTTAAAAGATACAAAATTAAAATTAAGACTATCAATAATCTTCTTTCCATTCCTTCCACCTCCCCCTTCAAAAAAAAAAAGAAAGAATAGACTATCAATAATCTTTAGACCTATTCTACAGCAGTTTTCTATATCTTTACAAAAATGAAATAAAGGTATTTAAAGTTTATTACCATATATTTAAATAAATGATGTGCTTATTATTTGTCCAAAGGAGATAATAAATGTTTAAACTGAATACTAGCTTACACAACTATCCTAGTAAGTCTTAATAGTCAAGAGGTTAATATCAACCTCCAAATACTTACTGTTCTGTTACGAAGAGACTGAAGCCCTAGTTTATCTGTCATTTCACTGATGGCCATAGCATTTGGCAAATCTTGTTTGTTTGCAAAAAGCAGTAGCACTGCATCTCTCAACTCATCTACCAGAAGCTGGAAATGAAAGGTAAGGCATTAGCAACTACCAACCGGAATCTGAGTTTTGAAACTAACTGTCTTCCTATATATGCTTTACTCAGCATTAAATACACTATTAAACATTAACCTAATTTCTCTACACAAAGTTCACTCTTACAACTGAAGTCTCATATCCTTCAGTTTTTAAATCCAGAGCAAACAATCATATGCCTTCAAGTAAGACAGAACTGTTTTTCAAGTCAATCATTCTACACCCCATTAAAGCAAATCACTCATCATTCAGCCTTCATGATCACCCATTGTCAGGACTGATAAGGGCAAGAAACACATATGGGAATAAAATGTTTATGGTAGGATCTTATGGTACTTAGTAGCAGAAGTACTTAGATGATGATTCTTTTCAGACTTCTATCCTTTCCAACAACAGTGGGACAATAACACAATTATCTGGGCGTTGGCAGTATCATGAAAAATACAAAAAAAAGTACCAAGAACAGAAGTTGTACTGGTGTATGATACAATATAGATGAACCCTGAAAAATTACGCTAAGTGAAAAAAGTCAGTCACAAAAGAACATATTGTATGTTTTCATTTATAAGAATGTCCAGAATAGGTGACTGTATAGAGACAGAGTAATTAGTGGCTGTCAGAGGCTGGGAGTGTGGTGTAGGAGGAAGGAAATGGGAGTGACTACTGCTGGTTCCAAGATTTCTTTGGGGGTGATGAAAATTTTCTAGTATTAGATTGTGGTGACGGTTGTACAACTCTGTATACTAAAAGCCACTGATATGCACATTTTAAAAGGATAACATTTATAGTATGTGAAGTATGTCTTAACAAAGTTTTTCTTTCTTAAGAGGGAAAGCTGATGACATTTGACTCAGGCAAAAATCCAACAATGACTTAGTTACACATATACTGGCACAACGGTTTTACAAACTGCCCTCTAATCTTAGGAGGAATGAATGATAATTAAAATTTCATTTCAGTAAATATTTTATGGCTACAAGTTTAAAATCATGACAAGGATTCTCAGCAGTCTTCCTCCATTTAGTACATTTAACACCACAAACACATGAAATCCAATATATGGCAAGGCTGCAAAATGCCACTGTGAACCAAACGTTTGTCTCTACTTTCAGAAGAAATTCCTTATCCTTAAATGGTTACTATTAAAAAACATTTCTGAAATAATTATTGGCACAGCATAGAGAAAATAGAACCGATGACCCTGGGAACAAAACATTTGAATCAAGATTCCTAGGGTCAAAACTGCTACAGCACTATAGATTTGGTACCTGTAAAATAAGGGACTGAGCTAAATCAGATATCCTCAGCCAGAGATAGGCATCAAGATTACCCATGAGGCATTCTAAAAAAAAAAAAAAAAAAAAGCTGCTCTGCCCTTCCTCCCAATTTACTGAAGTACTCTTCCATGTGTTTTTCAAAATGCTCTATAAGAGATTTTGAAGTACATTAAGAACCTGTGGATAACAGAGTTTCTTAAGTTTATTTCTAGCCCCCCAAATCCACTTGTGTAAACTAATCATAATAATAAATTTAAAGTATATTCTTACCATTTTCTGCAGCTCATCTGCTACTTCCTGAATTCTTTCACGATCATTGCTGTCTACCACAAAAATAAGACCCTGGGGAAAAATTGTTTCAGTAAATTTTAACAGTTAAATGACATTCTCTACATGAAACAGAAGTGTAGGCAGCAAAATGGTACCAATGGTTAGACATTAGGAAGAAAATATCTCATTAAAAGTAAGAACTTAAAGCTGTAATGCTAAAAGCTTATTTGAGAACTATTTGTAAGTTTAATTTATTAGTGCTATTTCAAATCTAAAAACTTTTTATTCTTCACCAATTAACTACTTTTCTCAACTACCCTAAGAATAAATTGTATCTATTTTCCCCTCTTCCCTCTGTACTCTCACATTTAAGTGCAGGTACCAAAATAGCCACAAAGTAAGAACAAAAAGAAAAATAACAAATCAAGGATCCTAAAGAATTGTGAATTTGGCCAGGCATGGTGGCTCATCCTGTAATCCCAGCACTTTGGGAAGCCGAGGCAGTCAAGGGATCAGGCCTGAAATCGCTTGAACTCAGGATTTGGAGACCAGCCTGGGCAACATGGCGAAAGCCTATCTCTACAAAAAAATACAAAAATTAGCCAGGCGTGGTGGTGCACTCCTGTAGTCCCAGCTATCTGAGAGACTGAGGTGGGAGGGATCACTTGAGCCCAAGAGATGGAGGTTGCAGGGGGCTGAGATCACGCCACTGCACTGCAGCCTGGGTGGCAGAGCGAGCCCCTATTTCAAAAAACAAACAAACAAATAAAACCATGAATTTACTAACTGAATTAGCTTATTGTATCAAAGGCATGTACAGAGTGTAATAAAAGGGGGGTGGGATAGCGGGAGTGGGTGCACTACAGTTTTTAATCTGCTTTATCATGGAAGGAAAAAATTAACTTGCTCCAGAATGCTGCCTGCCAACTCTAGAATCAGGAGGACATCTTAAGAAAAAGATAGCAAGAAAACTCCAAGATTGGGCGCAGTGGCTCACTCCTGTAATCCCAGCACTTTGGGAAGCCAAGGCAGGAGAATCATTGGAGCCCAGCCGTTTGAGGCCAGCCAGGACAATATGGCAAAACCGTATCTCTTGAAAAGAAGAAAGAGAAAGGAAGGAAGGGAGGGAGGGAGGGAAAGAGGAAGAGAGAGAGAGAGAGAGAAAGATTTACTTAAGACATTCTTTAAAAAAAAAAGGTAGTATCAATTCTCAGAGATATAAATATTACCTTCTTTTCAGACAGGGTCTCAACTCTGTTGCCTAGGAGCACAGTGGCGTAATCTTGGCTCACTGCAGCCTTGACCTCCTGGGCTCAAATGATCCTCCCGCCTCAGCCTCCCAAGTGGCTGGGACTACAGGTGCATGCCACCACACCTGGCTAATTTTCCTCCCAAGTGGCTGGGACTACAGGTGCATGCCACCACACCTGGCTAATTTTTCTATTTTTTGTAGAGATGGGGTTTCACCATGTTGCCCATGTGGTCTTAAACTCCTGGACTCAAGTGATCCACCCATCTGGGCCTCCCAAAGTGTTGGGATTACAGGCATGAGCCATGGCACCTGGCCCATTATTAGAATTCTATACTACAAGAGAAATGGAAGGAATTAGGAAGCAATTAGTTGAACTCTTTTTCTAAAAACTTTCAAATGGGAAATTACAGAATTTTCAGCTAGAAAAAGGGAGCAAAAATAAAAATAATAAAATAATAAAAATAATAAAAAAGAAAAAAGATAAACCCTGACCCCGAAAGTACTTTTGATCATGTCACTTATCACAGATTGTCTTGTACTACTGATTTATTTAAGTAACTAGGCTGGGTGCGGTGGCTTTCACCTGTAATCCCACTATTCTGGGAGGCCGAGGCAGGTGGATCACCTGAGATTAGGAGTTTGAGACAAGCCTGGTGAAACCTCATCTCTACTAAATATACAAAAATTAGCCAGGCATGGTGGCACGCCTGTAATCCCAGCTACTCGGCAGGCGGAGGCTGCAGTGAGCCGAGATTGTGCCACTGCACTCCAGCCTGGGCGACAAGGGCAAACTACATCTCAAAAAAAAAAAAGTAACTAGATTACATTCACGGAGGACAAAGGACTATACTACATCTTTTTTTTTTTGAGAGAGTCTCGCTCTGTTGCCCAGGCTGGAGTTCAGTGGTGCCATCTCAGCTCACTGCAAACCCCTCCTCCCAGGTTTAAGCAATTCTGCCCCAGCCTCCTGAGTAGCTGGGATTACAGGTGGCCACCATTACACCTGGCTAATTTTTGTATTTTTAGTAGAGACGGGATTTTACTATGTTGGCCAGGTTGGTCTTGAACTCTTGACCTCAGGTGATCCACCTGCCTTGGCCTCCCAAAGTGCTGGGATTACAGGTATGAGCCACCGTGCCCAGCCCCATCCTACATCATTTTCTATTTACCTCTCAGGATTATCACAGTACTGGGCTCTCCAGGGGTATCTAACACTTATTTTACATCCACTTAACGACAACTTCCTTTGTTTTAGCAAATTATAAGTCCATTTCCTTTATCTCTGTTGGAAACCATAACTTAATTTTTTTTTTTTTTTTTTTTTTTGTCTTGCTGTGTCACCCAGGCTGGAGTGCAGTGGCGCGATCTCCGCTCACTGCAAGCTCCGCCGCCTCCCGGATTAACGCCATTCTCCTGCCTCGGCCTCCCTAGAAGCTGGGACTATAGGCGCCTGCCACTACGCCCGGCTAATTTTTTTGTATTTTCAGTAGAGACGGGGTTTCACCGTGTTCGCCAGGATGGTCTTGATCCCCTGACCTCATGTTCCGCCTGCCTCGGCCTCCCAAAGTGCTGGGATTACAGGTGTGAGCCACCGCGCCCGGCCGATAACTTTTTTATCTTATTTTACACTGCATCTACACCACCTGGAAAACCATCACTTTAAATATCTATCCTTTGAAAAACCTTTTGGCTGGCATGGCACCTCTAATCCCACCACTTTGGGAGGCTGAGGTGGGAGGATCACGTGAGGTCAGGAGTTCAAGATCAGCCTGGGCAGAGTAAGACACTGTCTCTACGAAAAAAATTAAAATTTTAGTAGGGCGTAGTGGCACGTGTCTATAGTCCTAACTACTTAGAAAGCTGAGAAAGGGAGGATCACTTGAGCCCAGGAGGTTGACTGAAGCTGCACTGAGCCACGATAGTGCCACTGCACTCTAGCCTGGGCAACAGAGAAAGACCCCATCTCAAAAACAAAAAATAATGTTTGATGCTTGGAAAGACAGACTCAAATTCAAATCTTACACTACTTGTTATAATACTACCTAATCCTTGAATATGCCTTGTCTAAATAAAATAAAAATACTACTAACTTCATAAGCTTGTTAAAGATTAAATGCAGTCAAAGAGAAAAGAGCTATCATTGTGCTTGGCTTATCACAGGCATTTATTTACCAAATCTGTCTCTTCCTTTCCATATTTCAAAAGCTACTCCTTTTTAGAACCAAACCTTCCATTTTTTTCAAAAAACAGGCAAGGTCTCCTTTTGTCCCCCAGGCTGGAGTACAGAGACACAATCATAGCTCACTTGGGCCTCCACCTCCTGTGTTCAGGTGGTCCTCCCACCTCAGCCTCTCAAGTAGCTGGGACTACAGGAGTATGCCACCATGCCCAGGTAATCTTTTTTTTTTTTTTTTTTTTGGTAGAGACAGGGTTTCACTCTGTTGCCTGGACTAGTCTTGAACTATTACTGGCCTCAAGTGATCCTCCTGTTATGGCCTCCCAAAGTGTTGGTGTTTCAGGCGCAAGCCATAGTACCCGGTCCTGAAACCTATCCTTTACAAGAGGTAATGCACTTAAAAGGGACCTAATTTTATCTTGACTACTAACTTTCCATTTTTATTTTTTTTTTTTTTTTTTTTTTGATGTAAAGACAGGGTCTTGCTATGTTCCCCAGGCTGGTCTCAAACTCCTGAGCTCAAGCGATCCTCTCGCCTCAGCCTCCCAAAGTGCTGAGAATACAGGCATGAGCCACTGCACCCAGCCTTTATTTGTTTTAAAACGCAAATAATGCTATCAGTCCCAAAGTAACATTGAGAAGGAGAATTATTTTAGGAATTAATCCCTAATTATTTTCTTCCTGGAACAGCCTAGAATCAAGAATGAAGAAAAGCTAGGATTCTACAGATAAGCCCAGCTGCTATGAGATTATTTTAAAAGCCAAATATTTGTTTAATTATTTAGAATGGCAAATTAGTTGGAATTATCTAATAAGAGGAATTTACTACACACTATGCCATGGTTTGTTAGTATAGGTTAGAAACATGGTTAAAGCTATAGTTCCTTTTAAATTTTATAGCTAGAAGAACTGATCAGTAATGCTGGGAATGCAAGCTAAGAGCTCAGCTTTGATTCTATCAGGTAACACATAAAGCTTTCCCCAGCTAGCATGAACTCCCTGGGAAGTAGTACTTGGACTTTTAATTCTAAGGTGGTCCAAAGAGGCCAGAATTGGGTCTAATCTCAAATTAAGAACGCAAAGTAAATTACAAAGCATTCTAAAGAAATTTAGGGATAAACCCAGGGTTACCCTTGGTCAAGAATTATTAGGCTTAAGGATTAGCAAGGTTTTACTTCATATCTAACTCTTCAAAATATATTGGCCAGGTGTGGTAGCTCATGCCTGTAATCCCAGCACTTTGGGAGGCCTAGGCAGGGCGATCACATGAGGTCAGGAGATCAAGACCAGCCTGGCTAACATGGTGAAACCCCATCTCTACTAAAAATACAAAATTAGCCAGGTGTGGTGGCGCATGCCTGAAGTCCCAGCTACTTGTGAGGCTGAGGCAGGAGAATCACTTGAACCCGGGAGGCGGAGGCTGCAGTGAGCCAAGATTGTACCGCTGCACTCTAGCCTGAGTGACAGAACGAGAACTCCATCTCAAAAAAAAATTAAAAAACAGTCCAGAGGGTAGAGCATATTAGAGATGAATATCAAATAACATAGCACTGGTTATATCCTGTTAACTGAAGCTGCATAATATATACATGTGAGTTTATTATGCTATTCTCTCTATTTTTATGTATACGGATTGAGTTTCCTTAATCCAAAAATCCAAATGCAAAACTTTCTGAGCACCAACGTGACAAAGGAAAAACTCCCTGCAGTATATCAGATTTTGGATTTCTGGATTTAGGATGCTCAACTGGGTACAATGCAAATATTCCAAAATTTTGAGATCAGAAACAGTGGTTTCTGGTCCCAAGAATTTCGGATAAGCAATGTTCACCTTGTATTTAACATTTTCCATAATGAAGCTTTTTAAAGCATGTGCCTCTGTATCAAATATCTTTTCTAGTCATAGCTGTATATTGATGACCATAAACATTCTTTTTTTTTTTTTTTTTTTTTGAGACAGAGTCACGCTCTGTCACCCAGTCACCCAGGCTGGAGTACAATGGTGCAACCTCGGCTCACCACAACCTCCACCTCCCGGGTTCAAGCAATTCTCCTACCTCAGCCTCCTGAGTAGCTGGGATTACAGGTGCACGCCACCATGCCTGGCTAATTTTTGTATTTTTAGTAAAGACAGGGTTTCACTGTGTTGGTCAGGCTGGTCCTGAACTCCTGACCTCGTGATCTGCCCGCCTCAGCCTCCTAAAGTGCTGGAATTACAGGCGTGAGCCACTGCACCTGGCCTAAACATTCTCATTTTTAAATAAAAAAGTATACCACTTATTTAATATGACATACTATGTAAACCTGGTTGTCCCAGCCACTCACCTAAGGTATTCACTGCCACCTGATGGCAATAAACTCCACTTGTATGCAATATTTTAAGAGCTGGATAACAAGATGACATTGCAAATCTTAAACATATAAAGTGGCAGTGATATCCACTTAAAAAATAATTACCAAGTAGTAAACAAAAACTGACAAATTCCTTGGGTGGTAGAAAAAACAATTGAGGTGGGACCAGGTTAAACAAAGGAAAAGTAAGAAGAAACTCTCCCGTCTTGGGTAAGTCATTACAAGTTTCAGTTTCCTCATATGTAAGAGAGTTAGATTAGAATGGTGGTTCTCAGCAGGGGACAATTTTGCCCCACGGGATATTTTGCAGGTGTGGAGAGATTTTTGGCTGCTAATTGAGGGGAACTGCTATTGCCATCTAGTGGGTAGACGACAAGGATGCCACTAAACAACGTACAATGCATAGAGAGCCCTCCCCATACCCAACAACAAAGAATAACCCAGCCCAAAATGTCAATAGTGCTGTTGTGTAAGATACCAGACCAGTAGTATCAGCACAACCCAAGAACTTGCTAGAAATACAGAATCTCAGGCCTTAGCCAGGACCTACGGAATTAATGTGTATTTTTAACAAATACCCAAGTGATTGATATGCATATTACAGTTTAAGAAACACTACTGTACCTGGATTATCCCCTGAGATTCTGATTCAAGTGGTCTAGGGGATGATCCAGGTCTTGGGATTTTTAAAGTTCCCCATGTGACTCTTACGTGCCACCCCCAAATTTGAGAACTCTTGTTCTATAGGATCACTCACTAAAGTCTCTTCCATGCCAGTATTATATATACACACTATGTGGCAATATAAAAATATCTTACAAATCAATGCAGCGAACTGACCTTAATGTATTTAATAAAGTAAACAAGTAACTGAGCTAAACAAAGGACTATCAATTGTCTTACATTCATCAGAAACTACAATGACAGTTTATACAGACCTTACTTTCTAAACTAAGATGGAAAGCAAAGAACTATGGATAAGAGACCTAATTCATTCTTGAGAAGTACATCAGCACCCACCCCATCTTCCAAACACTTACCGTAATTGCTTTACAACTCTTCCACCCTATATAAGTTAGCCTTCGATGCATAAGTGAGAGTCCACTGAAGAATGTGGAAGTGGTGATAAGACAAATGCCAACTCATAGTAAACACCAATATCCAAGTAAATACTAGATACTAACATAAACTTTAGAGCATGAAACCCACAGAGAAAAGTTACAAAAACATATAGTATCCCTTACCTGGGTATTCTGGAAGTAATGCTTCCAGAGAGGCCTAATTCTATCTTGACCACCAACATCCCATACTGTGAAACAAATGTTCTTATATTCTACTGTTTCCACATTAAAACCTACAAAGAAAAACAAAAATGACCACTGTGCGGCGTCATTAAGAAAATAAAACCTTTTATTGTGGAATTTTCTTAGTGTTTTAAAAGTACTTCTTTTTATTAAAAAAAATATATTTAAACCTAAACATCAACAGAGACAAGGACTCAATATGTTATGCAGGCTGGTCTTGAACTCCTGGACTCAAGCGATCCACCCACCTCGGCCTCCCAAAGTGCTGGGATTACAGGCATGAGCCACCACACCCGGCCTGTTTTAAAAGTACTTCTAAGATAATCAACATGCTTAACAAAAAAACAGTCTCAAAACGAGACTGTATATATTTCACTTTACAACATATCATCATGATATAAAGTCATCTGTAAACTTTCTTACCAATAGTAGGAATGGTGGTGACTATCTCCCCTAACTTCAGTTTATACAGAATGGTTGTCTTGCCAGCAGCATCCAATCCAACTAGAAGAAGACATTATAGATTTAAAATCCAGACCAAAAGCACACTCCAAGAAATAATTTTACAGTATAAGTCAAAAGTAGAAGTTGTCTAAATGAAATGACCTTATTTCTGATTCCCAAAGGCAACACTTCCTACAGAAGGCCTTTCCATTCTTCTTTCTAGACCAAGAGAGACAGCATGTACTAGTAAAAGGAAACGAGTATATAGCTGACTTAGGCTCTAATCTCTAGCTTTGCCACAAACTAGTTGAGTGACTTTAGGACACTGAGGAAAGATAAATTAGCCATAAATAAAGGGACTGGATCAGATCATCTAAGATCTCTTCCAATTCAAGACTTTATTCTATGAACTACCAGCATTTTTGCGGGGGGGCAGAGGAGGGGGGGACATACTCTTGCTCTGTTGTCCAGGCGCCCAGCACCACGCCCAGCTAATTTTTGTATTTTTAGTAGAGATGGGGTTTCACCATGTTGGCCAGGATGGTCTCAAACTCCTGGCCTCAAGTGATCTGCCAGTCTGGGCCTCCCAAAGTGCTGGGATTACAAGCGTGAGCCACCGTGCCCAGCAATACTACCATTTTTTAAAACACAGATTAGAAGTTGATTCAGAGAACACAAAACTGAATAAAGAATTACCTTAAGATTTGTAAAAATATTTCCTCTTATTTACAGAGTACAATTTGGGTAACAGATTTTGATGCTAAGGGGTAAAAATACACTGGTATAACTATGTCCTAGTGGTGTAACTATGTTCTAGTGACCTTCTATAACTATGTCCTAGTGACCTTATAATGATAATAAAAGAAAATGAAGCCAATTTTACCCCTGCTTAAATCCATTTCAACATTAAATGTGCCAAAATGAAAACCAAAGTCTGATTAACCTGTGTTATAAAAATGGCCCTATCACATTCATCTACAATATTAAGTAATATCTAAATTTTTGTTGTTGTTGTTGTTGAGACAGAGTATCACTCTGTCACCAAGGCTGGAGTGCAATGGCATGATCTCAGCTCACTGCAACCTCCATGTCCCAGGTTCAAGCAATTCTCCTATCTCAGCTTCCCGAATAACTGAGATTACAGGCACGTGCCACCACACCCCAGCTAATTTGTATTTTCAGTAGAGACGGGGTTTCACCATGTTGGCCAAGCTGGTCTTGATCTGCCCACCACAGCCTCCCAAACTGCTGGGATTACAGGTGTGAGCCATTGTGCCCGACCTAAATTCTTAAAATGATTCATTTGAGGCAGAAGTACAAGTAGGGAGGAATGTGTTTGCTTGTGAAAAAAAATCCACACTAGAACAAGAGGCTATACCTCTTTATTAGGGTGACAGTGAAGAACAAATTAAATGCTTGTAAGTATGAATCTCTCAAAACCTGAATATTCTGCAGTGTTTGTTAAAGCCCTCACAAATGAAAGATCAATATCTAATAACCTCATTGAATTTATCATTGTTCTTAGGATATCGTATCTGGCTGCCTGGATTTATCACAGATTTTTATATCAATTCAATTGAGTATTGATTTAAGCAAGGACACTTTCTTAATATTTAAATCAAAGCATGACTTAGCACATAAAAGCAATGCTAGTAAGTTAAAAAAAAGAGCTGAAATTATCTCACTTATCTAATTTACATTCCTATGCAAGTAAGTCTATCTTTTATCAGTTAGTCCAAAACAGAATTGAAGGCTACAGGCAATTCCGATTCCTTCCACCCTCTTAACAACCCTTTCTGCTCTGTACCCTACCAACAATAACTTTAAATTCTTTTTGGAGACTCAAGCCTTTTATTCCTTTGTCCTGTAAAACCCTGTTCCCCACTTCGTACTGGGATACAGGTTTATTTCTTCCCAAATACTAGTCAGTGTGATCAGCCCACATCAAGCCCTCATTCATGAGCATAATAATAAAAGCCAACTGTTACACAAGTGGTTTTTTTTTTGAGTATGGAACAGTATCAAAAAGATCAGAAAACATAATTCTAAAAAATACATAAAAAGGAGCTATTAAGTTTGGCATCTTTAGTAACAAGATATAAAACAAAGGGGGGGGTGGCAAAAAACAACTGGATCTTTAAATGGTTCAACAAAGCTGTCTGTTGAAAGCATCAGATTTTTAAGTTAACTAAAATTAACCTTTAAGTTCAAATATGATTCAGCCAAGTCAGAAATGAAACAGACGCTGATTAGGAAACACACACACACACGCACACACACAAAACTATGGTACCTGCCAGTTATCACCAGAGGTCCAACTGGATCTCAGACTGCCAATTAAAAACAATGTAAGGCCTGGCGCCATGGCTCATGCCTGTAATCCCAGCACTTTGGGAGGCTGTGGCGGGCGGATCACCTGAGGTCAGGAGTTTGAGACCAGCCTGGCCAACATGGTGAAACCCTGTCTCTACTAAAAATACAAAAATTAGCTGGATGTGGTGGCACATGCCTGTAATCCCAGCTACTCTGGAGGCTGAGGCAGGAGAATCGCTTGACCCCAGGAGGTGAATGTTGCAGTGAGCCAAGATCATGCCATTGCACTCCAGCCTGGGCAACAAGAGCAGAACTCGGTCTCAAAAAAAAAAAGTAAATCCAAAAATATTGACAAAGAATGGAAGAAATCCAAGACAAATCATGATTATATCATTTTAAATTATACAAAAGCATGTAGGTACTCCAAATTTTCTTTTAATAGGTTTTATATGTGCTTGTATGAATAATTAATAGTTTCCTTGCTCCTCTACTGATAGGAATTTTTTTTACCCAAAAAACATGTATTACTTTTATGAAAAGAGAAAAAAAATTGTCCAAGTAGGTTTTTTTTTTTTATTAAAATGTTGGGCTGTTTACATTTCCTGATATATCTTTTTGAAGATGACTCCTTGAGGGCTTTAAATATATAGTATTTTATATACTCATTTTACTTTTTCAAAAAGGGAAGTGTTTACAAAATCATGCAACCATTTCTAGGTCACCCCAGAATTCCAGGGGAAAAATAATTTACCCACAATGACTTTTAAGCATCCACAAATTATTTTCTAAATATAAATTACAAGACAACAGTTTAATGGCTCACAGCAACACAGAATGTATCTTATGCAGTTGTATCAAAAATAACAATGCTATATAAATGCAAACTAAGAGTTTTTTAAAAAGCTATTTCTAAGCTTTAATGCACAAATTAAACATATACCGTCGTCACTTAAAACTTACAGTTCTTTACTCAAAAACATATTGGTCCAACAACTTCGAGCCACTTTAGTCATTTCTTATGTATTTCCTTAATGGTGCAATATTTGGCAGTGAAATTTCTCCACAAAATGAAAACTATTACCAATTTTCAACTAGCCGAGATAAGACTAATCTGTATAGCCCAGCAATGTCCTCCCTCCCCTTCGTGTCCAGAAACAAGCAACTGTATTGAAAGATGTACTGGAATAATACTTGTTCTCCTTAACTAGACCTGCACTTTGACCAAAGTGTTAATATAGCAGGAAAACTACCTCAGAAATCTTTGCTGGCCAGGCAGTCACTCACACCTGTAATCCTAGCACTTTGGGAGGCGGAGGCAGGCGGATCGCTTGAGCCCAGGAGTTTGAAACCAGCCTGGTCAACAGAGCGAGATCCATCTTTTAAAAAAAGAAAAATTAAATTAGCTGGGAAGCTGTGCATGGTGGCTCACACCTGTAATCCCAGCACGTTGGAAGGCTGAGGCAGGTGGATCGCCTGAGCTCAGGAGTTTGTGACCAGTCTGGGCAACATGGCAAAACCCTGTCTCTACAAAAAATACAAAACTTTGCCAGGTGTGAGTGGGGCATGGTGGCTCATACCTGTAATCCCAGCACTTCGGGAGGCCAAGGCAGGTGGATCGCCTGAGGTCATGAGTTTGAGACCAGCCTGACCAACATGGAGAAACCCCGTCTCTACTAAAAATACAAAATTAGCTGGGTGTGGTGGCGCATGCCAGTAATCCCAGCTACTCGGGAGGCTGAGGCAGAAGGATCCCTTGAACCTGAGAGGCGGAGGTCGCAGTGAGCTGAGATCGCGCCATTACACTCCAACCTGGGCAACAAGAGCAAAACTACATCTCAAAAAAAAAAAAAAAAAAAAATTTGGCCAGGTGTAATGGCACATGCCTGAAGTCCCAGCTACTGGGGGAGGCTGAGATGGGAGGATCACTTGACCCCAGGAGGTCAAGGCTGCAGTGAGCTGTGACCACACCATTGTGCTTCAGCCTGGGCAACAAAGTTGAGACCCTGTGTCAAACAAAAAATTAGGGTGGTGTGCATCTATATTCCCAGCTACATGGGAAGCTGAAGAAGGAGGATCCCTTCAGCCCAGGGGATCGAGTCTGCAGTGAGTCATGATCGCACCACTGCACCTCAGCCTGAACAACAGAGCAAGACCCCGTCTCAAACAAGTCCAGGCGCCGTGGCTCACGCCTGTAATCCCAACACTGTGGGAGGCTGAAGTGGGCGGATCACATGGTCAGCAGTTCGCGACCAGCCTGGCCAACATGGTGAAACTCATCTCTACTAAAAATACAAAAATTAGCTAGGCATGGTGGTGGGTGCCTGTAATCCCAGCTACTTGGGAGGCTGAGGCAGGAGAATAGCTTGAACCCGGGAGGTGGAGGTTGCAGTGAGCCCAGACGGCGCCACTGCACTCCAGCCTGGGCAACAGAGCGAGACTCGGTCTCAGAAAAACAAACAAAAAAATCCCCACAAAACAAACCTTTGCCCATAATTAGGGCAGCAAGAAATACTTATATTTTAAATTAAAGAAGTTAGATCCGGCCAGGCACGGCATCTCATGCCTGAAATCCCAGCACTTTGGGAGGCCGAGGTAGGTGGATCATAAGGTCAGGAGTTCGAGACCAGCTGCCCAAGATGGTGAAACCCCGTCTCTACTAAAAAATAAAAAAATTAGCTGGGCACGGTGGCAGGGGCCTGTAATCCCAGCTACTCGGGAGGCTTGAGGCAGGAAAATGGCTTGAACTCGGGAGGCAGGGTCTGCAGTGAGCTGAGATAGCACCACTGCACTCTAGCCTGGGCGACAAAGCAAGACTCCGTCTCAAAAAAAGGAAAAAAAAAAAAAAGTTAGATCCAATGATCTCAACTTTGAGGGAGAAAAAAATATTGCAGAAAGGAGTAAGACTGGAAAGACAAAAGAGTATTTTCAGATGGATAAAACGATTTTTCATGTTTTCCTTTATCTTTCAAATCTACAAGTTTGAAATATACCTTCATTATTTTAAGTGTGTGTGTGTGTGTATATATATACATTTTTTTTTCCAAGACAGGGTCTCGATCTGTCACCCAGCCTGGAATGCAGTAGTGCAAACACAGCTCACTGTAGCCTCAAACTTCTAGGCTCCAGCAATCCTCTCACCTCAGCCTCCCCAGTAGCTGGGACTACAGGAGCACGCCATCATGCCCAGCTAATGTTTAAAATTTTTTTGTATAGATGAGGTCTTGCCATGGTGCCCACGCTGCATAATAATTTTAAACAATAATTTAAAATTGAATATTTACTGCATTCTAAGCATAGTACTGGGTGATTCCATACATTTTTGGAATTTAATCCTCACAATAACCTTTCATTTTACAGATGAGACATTTAATGTCCAGAAATGTCCCCCATAATCACAGAAAAAGAAGAACAGATATTTAAAAACCTAAGTCTTGCAGAGAAATTAGAACCCTCATACATTGCTAGTGGGACGTAAATAAGGATGTAAAATGGAAACGTTTGTCAGGTCCTCAAAATGTTCAAGACAGTTACCATGACACAATTCCGCTCCTAAGTATTTATCAAAGAATTTAAAACACATGCCCACACAAAAACTTGTTCATAAATGTTGAAGAGCTAGAAAGTGGAAATGACCTAATTTTCATCAACTGATGAATGAATAAATAAAATGTGGTTTATCCATACAATGTAATTACTATTTGGCCATCAAAAGAAATAAGATGCTTATGTGAATTTTATGAAAAGGAAAAAAATGAGAAGAATGAAGGACTAATATACGCTATAATATGAATGACCTTATTTTCTCTTCTTCTTTTTTTTCTTTTCCTTCTTTTTTTTTTTTTTTTTGAGACAGCAGTCTCACTCTGTCGCCTAGCTGGCAATGCAATGGCACACATCCTATGCTCACTGCAACCCTCTGCCTCCCGGGTTCAAGGGGATTCTCGTGCCTCAGGCCTCGAGTCGCTGCGGGGGACTACAGGTGCCTGCCACCCACCCCCGCTAATTTTATGTATTTTAGAATAGACCCAGGGTTATCACTATGTTAGTACAGGCTGGTCCTCTAACTCTGAACTTCGTGATCTGCTGCGCCTCGGCCTCCCAAAGTGCTGGGATTACAGGCGTGAGCCACTGCGCCCGTCCACTATGAATGAACTTTCAAAACATCATGCCAAGTGAAAAAAGCCAGACATAAGAGGCCATAAATCATGATTCCATTAAATGAAGTGTCTGGAATAGATTAACCCATAGAAACAGAAAAGAGATTACTGGCTGCCAGAAGATGGGAAGAAGGGGGAATGGGAATTACTACTAATGGGTATCAGGTTTGTTGAGGGATGATGAAAAATTCTGGAATTAGACAATGGTGATGGTTACACAACTTTGTCAATACATATACTAAAACCCACAGAACTGTACATTTTAACAGGGTAAATTTTATGGTATATGTATTATATCTCAATTTTTAAAAAAAATTTCTAAAAAGCCAGAACCAACAAACCCTAGTTCTGATGCCAGAGACCTCAAATACTATTTACATACTGCCATCCTGACTTTAGGTTTTTCTGGTGGACATACTGTATCTTAATATCTTGGTTGGGCACGGTGACTCACGCCTGTAATCCCAGCATTTTGGGAGAGTGAGGCAGGTGGATCACCTGAGGTCAGGAGTTCCAGACCAGCTTGACCAATATAGTGAAACCCTATCTCTACTAAAAATATGAAAATTAGCCAGGCATGGTGGCAGGGGCCTGTAATGCCAGCTACTCGAGAGACTGAGGCAGGAGGATTGCTTGAACCCGGGAGGTGGAGGTTGCAGGGAACGGAGATTGCACCACTGCACTCGAGCCTGGGTGACACACTGAGACTTTGTCTCAAATATATTTTATCGAATTCATCAGAGGCTTGACCATCCAAACTGAAACTGAGGCCACCAGGTATATGGAAAAATGTGAACTTAAGTTCTGCTTCTATGCACGGATGAGAAACATCTGCATTTTTATCAGTTAATTAGCAGCAAATTATCAAAGTTTCTTACCGCCTATTGCACTACTGTAATAATGCAAAAGGGTGCATCTAAGGATGGCTGTACCTATCAACCAGTGGCATGAAACAGGATTTTTGCCTTTTCCATTTCCTATATTCACATAATGAGAAGAGCCTGTTTTTTCAAAGGTTGGCAGTTATATGTTCAACCAATAACCTCAGAAAATGCTTGTAATAAGCTAAATCAAAAAGAGAGGACACAAAACTAAATATCACAACTACAATTTTAGAGGAACAAAAACTTCCTCTTAAAAGGCTGACTGAGCATGTACCAGGTGTGGTGGCTTACACCTGTAATCCCAGCACTTTGGGAGGTTGAGGCAGGAGGATCTCTTGAGTCCAGGAGTTTGAGATCAGCTAGGCAACAGAACAAGACCCTCATTCTCTACAAAATAATTTAAAAATTAGCTGGGCATAGTGGTGCCTGTAGTCCTAGCTACTCCAGAGCCTAAGGTAGGAGGGATCGCTTGAATCCAGGAGTTCAAGGCTACAGTGAGCTATGATCATGCCACCTGTATGTGCCCCAGAGTATGGCTGACAGAGCAAAACCCTGTCTCAAAAAATAAAAATAAAAATAAGGCTGAGAGTAAATATGACAGAATAGTGGAATTACAGATAGGTAATTATCACTTTATTCTTTTACCTGTTTTCTAAATGTAACAGAAGGAACATATACTACTTTTAGAATCAGGAGGAAAAAAAATTACATAAATAGATGGATTTGCAAAATATGCTAAGAAACAAATATAAAACACCACTCTTTAGCTTGGTAATATTTTTTAAAGTGACAAATATAGGATCCTTTCTCCCGAACATCTCTAGACCCCCAAAACCACAGTCACATTCAAGACAATACAGAACTACACTGGCATACTACACTACACTGGTATCAACAAGCTTTTAAAAACTAACACTTTTTCAGCTGTTCTACAGGCAAGGACTGGAAAGTTCAAAGTAAAGAGATCAGAATTAATAATTCCTCTGCAGAACACATTAGTATTTTTGGATATATACATAATTTAAGGATTCACTTAACATTACATCTTATCATGGATCAAGATACAGAAACCAGACTTAAAACAGGACAATGCAGCCAGGCTCAGTGGCTCACCCTGTAACACCAGCACTTTTCGAGGCCAAGGTGGGGGGATCGCTTCAGCCCAAGAATAGGCAAGATAGTGAGACCTTCTTGCCACAAAAAATTTCAAAAATTAGCCAGGCAGGTCGAATGGCATGTCCTTGTTGTCTCAGCTACTCAAAAGGAAAAAAACATAATTATTTTAAAAATATATACAAAATACAGAAGCTGGCCGGGTGTGATGGCTCATGTTTGTAATTCCAGCACTTTGGGAGGCCAAGGCGGGTGGCTCACCTGAGGTCAGGAGTTTGTGACTAGCCTGGCCAACATGGTGAAACCCCGTCTCTACTAAAAACACAAACATTAGCCGGGCTTGGTGGCAGGCGCTTGTAATCCCAGATACTCAGGAGGCAGAGGTTGCAGTGAGCCTAAATCGTGCCATACTGCACTCCAGCCTGGCAGACAAGAGTGAAACTCCATCTCAAAAAAAAAAAAAAAAAAAAATTAAATTAAATTAAATACAGAAGTTATTGCTTTATTTTTATTTTTTTTCAAATAGAGATGGGGTCTTGCTAAATTGACCAGGCTGGTCAAAAACTCCTGGCCTCAATGCAGTCCTCCCAACCTGGCCTCCCAAAGTGCTGGGATTATAGGTGTGAGTCTATGCTGCTTTCTAACTCAAGCAGCATGGGCAATACCATCACTTGCGTAACTTCCCCTTATAACTAGTACATAATTTCTGTCAATCAATAGTCCAGATTATGTTAAATTTGATACACTGTGTTGGTTTTTTAATTACAGTTAACTACAAGCTGACTTCCAACATCTTTTAAAGTTACTTGAACTTTTGGAAGAACAGCAGGTGTAGGAATTAAATTTAAAACTTCTCCACAGAAGTTTGGCAAACCGGAGACATCAGCTAACTCCTATCTCCTTTATACTTTAAAATGGTAAAGTCTGAAAAAAGTCTGACTCAGGAGGGCATGAATCTTATCTAAGCTTTATAAAGAAAAAAGAAGCACACTAATGTAAAACATTAACCAATAATTCCAACAGTTGAATGGGGTAGAAAAAAAAAAGTGATCTATTATTTTTGCGGTCAGTCACTCATAAAGCCAGACAGAAAAATTAAGAATTATCAAACTTCCAAACCACCTTTTTCCCTGTTCATGCACGTATCTTCCTCGTACGTTGATACCTCCTTTGATGAGTTACCATAAATGTTGATCTTGTGACTGAAGTGTTTTTAGTCAAGGAAAACTGATTATCCCAAAATTAAAGTGCAAAACAATAGCATGCCTGAGTTAAACATTCAAAACAAGTAACTCCTAAATCCTCCGCACAAATGCAGAAACTTCAATATTTTTTCTCTCCCATTTTCTTCAAATCTAGCATACTTCTATCTTCCTTGCCCCTCTGATACTTTCATCAATCACAAAAGACTAAGGAAACGAAAAATAGCAATTTATTTACAATAAATCTTAAGTAAAAAGACCAATATACTACGTGTTCTGGAACACAACCATATATTGTTAAATCTCTTTAAAGAACAGGCTGGAAATTCATTTATCGCAGTCCAAAGTCCTCCCATTAACTTCCGATCCTTTTTCAGACTGCCAACTTTCAGTCTTAACTTAAATATGCTTGCCCTCCTAAAATAATTCTGTTCTCTTGACAAAGGAAATCTAAGAAACTTTGAAAAAGAAAACACTTTATGAATCATAAACAATTGTTTCACAAAATGTAAATACGCTGAGTTAAGAGGAAAATTAAACGAGCCAATGTATATACTGTTACTCTTTATATACCTTGAGATATTACAGAAGCTTGTGTTTGAAAGCTTTCGATGGTAGTACAGTCCGAAAATAAAACCTCCGGCCCAGCATGGTGGTTCACGCCTGTAATCCCAGTACTCTGGGAGGCCCGGGTGGGTGGATCACCTGAGGTCAGGAGTTCGAGACCAGACTGGCCAACATGGTGAAACCCCCGTCTCTACTAATAATACAAAAAATTAGCCGGGCGTGGTGTTGCATGCCTGTAATCCCAGCTATTTGGGAGGCTGAGGCAGGAGAATCTCTTGAACCCGGGAGGTGGAGGTTGCAGTGAGCGGAGATTGCGCCACTGTACTCCTGCCTGGGTGACAAAAGCAAAACTCCGTCGAAAGAAAGAAAAGGAAAGAAAGGAAGAAAGAAAATAAAACCTCCTCTGGTAGAACACAAGCTAATGAACCAACAAGTTTCAACGTTCAAAGTTAGAGGGGCTTCTTTCAGCGTTATTCTAGTCCATGGAGCTCAGCTGTGATGTAGGCTGGTCACAGTAACCGGGAGCGGTTGCTTACATCAGCCAACGGACAGCCCTTCTCCCTTAGCTGAGCAAAAACACGCCCCCTAAAAAGCAGTTTTTTAAAAGTCAATTTTCTAAAAAGAAATTTTAAAAAATTGTAGTTACTATTTAACAATGCTACCTTAAAATTCAGCGTCATGATGTTCATTTCAGTTACTGAAAATTTATCAGGTATTTTTTTTAAATTCGTTTCTAATTTTTTTTTGCATTAGACTTTAAGCCGGCTAAATAAGTTTGAAAACCTAGGAGAACAAACCAAATACATTTAAAGTTTTTAAAAATAGCCAAAGAAATAGAAGATAAGCTTGGTTTTCGGCGAATGAGATTAACAAGGAGGGAAAAACTTGAAAAGGAATCCAGCGCAAGGCCAAGTTTAGCAAAGTGGGCGCTGAAGGACTCCAGACTCTTAGGAAACCTTGGGTGCTCCCTGGCCACCGCAACTTCCTGCCCCGGGCGACTCCAGGCTCCGGGTGGCCGCTGGCTCACATACCAACGGAGTGTGCAGGGACTGTACACGAAGCGCAGAGGGGGAAGTTAAAGGCTGGAGTCGCTCTGCCTCCCTCCTGACGGCTGTCCACACCCGGGCAAGAAGGTATGCAGATCGCACCCCCAGAAAGGGCCTCGCCAAGTGTTTGCTTCCCAGAGTTGGCTTTCCCCACATCTCTGCCTAATGTTGTCCAGCTTTCAATAAGATCAAGGGGGAAAAGTCAAGTCCAGAAAAAAGAAACCTTGCCCAAAGCCCTGTCCCTGCCTCGTCTGGCAACAGATCTGGGGAGGGATCGCTCACCCTCCGCTCCATTGTTCCCCCTTAAGAATTCCTCCCGACCCCCGACCCGGCGCCCCTCCCCCACCACGGCGGGCGGAGAGAAAAACAGGCCCAGAGGCCACCTGAATTGTGGAGATCCTGCCTTTCCCAGGTCCCGCCTCGACTCGCAGCCCTTCACTCACCCATCAAAATGCGCATCTGCTTCTTGCCAAATAGTCGGGAAAAGAGGGAGGAGATAGTGAGGCCCATGGCGGTAGTGGCACTTGTGATGGGCAGAAGCAGAAGGGGTTTGGGGCGACCCCGTGCTTTCTCCTTTCAAGCTCCCAGGCAAACTAAAAGAGAGGGAAGAGAAAGAGCGGAGGAAGAAAGGGGGAGGCAGGCACGTCTCGCTGGCCGCTGTGCTGATGAAGCTCCGGCACAGGAATAAGCCGGTAGAGGACCTGCTAGGCGACTGGCGCGGCAGCTCCGGCTCTAGCCTTTAGGATCTGGCTGTGCCACGTCACGCGGCGGCCGCGGCGACTCCAGCAGCGGCCCGGCCCCTCCAACGCGGACAGAATCGCGTCACCGCCGCCCCATCCCCCTGCGCTTCCGGTGCGCCCAAGCCACTGCGCTTGCGCGCTCAGGGGATTGGCCAGTTTCGCTGACGCGCATCTCTCGACGACGCCACCGTCTGGACGTGGCTCCAAGAGTCGGGAGACGCCGGCTGGGGCACATGCGTACTGGGCGACGGACAAAGTCCCACAATACCTCGCTTCGTCACTTCCAATCAGACTCAGGGCGAGACGCTTCCGCTCGGATAAAGGCATTGTCGGGGTGATGGTACTTGCTTCCGGAAAGGCGAGCTGAGCGTTATGGGTTAGGTGAGGAACCTCGCCCTCTTCTATTACGGTACGCGCGATGGGGATTCCCTGATGCCATGAACTTAGACGTCTCACACACGGGGCCAGACGCTTGCCTTAGTTAACGCGTGAAGAACGGCCCGGCCTTTTGCGGAGAAAAGTGGTTAAAAGCCGACTTGTGGGCCGAGAAACTGTGGCATCCTAATGAGCTAAGGCGAGGCGCTTCGACCACCACGCTAGGTTATTCTGAAGATCTTTAATTCTATCAAGGCGAGAGCGCTCCAAGACATGTTCATCGGCTATTGCTTTTTAAAGAGAAGGCAACGAGGAAGTCTTGCTTTTCTTGTACTTTTTCTCCTAGAAGCAGCATGAAAGACTTACTCCTTAGGTTGAGGAAGTGGAAAGCCTCTTGATCAGGCCTGGCGCGGTGGCTCACCGTGCCCGGCCTGCTACACCTTCTTAAATTCACAACAATGATTAATTTATTAGACTCATTGCCAGGATAAAGATTTAATCTGTTTTTCTAATAGTGCCGTCCTTTGTGGTTCTGTAGTTGCTTATTCCAACTGGTATATTTCCATAGGATGGGGTTGAATAAGAAAAACTTGCAAACTTTCAAAAACAGTAAGCTATTTTTGTATTTTTGAAGGCTTGCTGAGTAACGCTTCTCTTGGTACCACTACCTTATCTACCCTTCAGAGACTGTTGTTTCTTAGGAGTGGCCCTGGGCAATTAAAAGCAAAAACTTCTGGCCAGGCACAGAGGCTCAGGCTTGTAATCCCAGCACTTTGGGAGGCCGAGGTGGGCGGATCACGAGGTCAGGAGATCCAGACCATCCTGGCTAACACGATGAAACCCCGTCTCTACTAAAAACGGAATACATTAGCCGGGCGTGGTGGCGGGCGCCTGTGGTCCCAGCTCTTCGGGAGGCTGAGGCAGGAGAACGGCGTGAACCCGGGAGGCGGAGGTTGCAGTGAGCCGAGATCGCGCCACTGCACTCCAGCCTGGGTGACAGAGCAAGGCTCCCTCTCAAAAAAAAAAAAACAAAAAACGAAAACTTCTTTACTCAGGAGTACCCTCCTTTGCACTGGAGATACATGTAAAGAGTTGCTTAGCAGTTGAATAACCTAAAATTGCATTTTGGAAGCTTGCTAAATGACAGACCTTCTTGTATCCTTTTGTGAACCCCCAAAATCTGAGACAGGTCCCAGCTAATTTAGAAAGTTAATTTTGCCAAAGTTGAGGACACGCGCCCGTGACACAGCCTCAGGAGGTCCTGTAGACATGTGCCCAAGGTGATCAGAGCACGGTTTAGTTATATACATTTTAGGGAGACATGAGACATCAATCAACATATGTAAGATGAACATTGGTTCGTTCTGAAAAGACGGGACAACTCAAAGCAAAGGCAGGAAGACTAATTGGGGAGGGGGCTTCCAGGGCATAGGTAGATAAGAGACAAATGGTTGCATTCCTTTGAGTTTCTGATTAGCCTCTCCAAAGGAGGCAATCAGATAGGCGTTTATCTCAGTGAGCAGAGGGGTGACTTTCAATAGATGGGAGGCAGGTTGGCCCTAAGCAGTTCCCAGCTTGACTTTTCTCTTTAACTTAGTGAGGTGGAGGCCCCAGTCTTCAACTGATTCTTAGGGTCTTCTTAAATTGACTAAATTTCGCAAAAGACAAATCGTATGAGCCCTCCTCCCTGTAACTTATTCCAAATCTTAATCCATGTTTTCTGTTTAGTTATGCAAAATAAATCTAAAGAATTCTTTTCTCCATCTCTAGCCTCCAAAACCTGAACCAAAACAAAAGTTGTCAAAACAGATTTTTCAGTAAGAATACGCTACACATCAAGTGGTTAATGTAAATTATAAAACAGGATGTTAATGGCAGACTGTAATATCTCTATTGTACAGATAAAATAATAAGGGTCAGAGAGATTAAATAATCTGCCTAAGGTCACACAGCTAAAAGCAGTGGAACAGGTATAAGAATCCATTTCTTCTAGTATTAACACTCTTTTTTTTTTTTTTTTTTAAATAAGTGGATTCAGGCTGGTCTGGAATTCCTGGGCCCAAGCGATCCTTCTACCTCAGCCTCCAAAGTGTTGGGATTACAGGTGTGAGCCAGTGCACCCAGCCATTAACACTCTTAACCACTACACTATACTACCTTCTTACATTTATTTATTTATTTATTTATTTATTCGAGACAGGGTCTCACTTTGTCACCCAAGCTGAAGTGCAGTGGCATCATCTCGGCTTACTGGAGCCTCAACCTCCTGGGATCAAGTGATCCTCCCACCTTAGCCCCCAAAGTAGCTGGGACTACAGGTATGCCACTGCACTTGGCTAAGTGGTGTGATTTTTTGTAGAGACAAGGTTTTGCCATGTTGCCAAGGCTGGTCTCAAACTCCTGAGTTCAACCAATCTGTCTGCCTTGGCCTCCCAAAGTACTGCGATTATAGGCCTGAGCCACTGTTTCCGGCCAAATTTCTTTTTCTTTCTTTGCTTCCTTTCTTTCTCTTTTTTTATTTCCTTCATCATTCTTTCCCTTTCCCTTCCCTTTTCCCTTCCCTTCCCCCTTCCGTTCCCTTTTCCCTTCCCTCCCTTCTCCCTCCCTTCCCTTTTTCCTCCCGCCTCAGCCTCCCAAGTAGCTGGTACCACAGACATGTCCCACCATGCTCAGCTATTTTATGTATTTTTGGTAGAGTCGGCGTTTGGGAGAGACCAGCATGTTGCCCAAGCTAGTATCCAACTCCTGAGCTCAGGTGATCCACTCACCTTGACCTCCCAAAGTGTTGATAGTAGAGGTGTGAGCCACTGCGCCTGGACCCCAGATTTGTTTTTATTTTATTTTATTTTTCTAGGTCAGGCACGGTGGCTCACACCTGTAATCCCAGCACATTGGGAGGCCAAGATGGGAGAATCACTTGAGCCCAGAAGTTCCAGACCAGCCTTGGCAATATAGAAGATGCCATCTCTATTTTTAAAAATATTTAGAGGC